ACACACATATATATGTATATATGAAGGAATGATTTACAGCTAACTGTATTAGACTGCATTAGTTTTGTTTGCTGAGCATACCTAATAAACTTGTAAATGAGTTTATTTTTGGCGTCATCCCCACCATCTGGTGTGAAAGGACACTAGAGGACACTGGATCTCCGATTACAGAGAGTGTACTGTCTACATAGGGAGGCCGTCAACTGTGCTTCAATTGTCAATCTGACTGAACATTTCAATATCAAACAATGCTGCTCTCTGCAACAGAAGAATAATTGCTTGATACAAGTAACGGCAACCTCAACATCTTGTTTCAAAGTGTCAGATCTATGTCCTCACTTCTTGCAGTCTAATTACACTGATGCATTGGCAGCTGTGAGGAGCTTCTGAACGCATACTGTGCAGACACTGATGAAGGACTAAAAATATTACTGTCGACCCGGTGACATGCTTCTTTCACCACATGGCAAGTGAGAGGTAACACCTACTTTAGGCCATGGGGCGTAAACCCGTGTATAGCACTGTAATGTGTACAAACTGTAGAACCGGTTATATCTTGAAAATATAATGACCTGGCTCTGGGCTCTGGTGTTATAAGTCCTACAATACACTGAGACATTGGAATAAAAATATGAAGTAAAAGCCATAAGTCTTTTCACCATTAAATCTATTTTACTGTATTAGATCTCCATGAAATCCTCATGTTTACCTTCACAGCAGCATGCTGACAAAGGATTGACCAAGAACTTGACCTATGACCCCTCTGCTCTCTCACTAGCTTGGTACTACGTTTCCTGTCTTGTGTTTTGAGATGTGCTTGAGATTTTTAATAAATGATGTATTTCTTGTGATTGCAAGAGTTTGATGACTTAAATCATAAGCTTACAAGTAATTCCTGCCGGGTTTAATTAGCTACTCCAAAGAGCCCTTTGACGAATAACCAACTGCTTCTCTCTAACCTCCACAGTCTAATGGTCTTTCTTCACAAAACCTTAAGACTACCTTAATCTCTTGGATGTGTGACCACCAACTGTAATGAACTCAAATGTCAGATTAATTTACAGACAGCAGGAGATAGTGTAGAGACTACCCACAGGGAGGTGCTATTGCTACCAATTACTGCCAGTTGGGTTTAATGAGACCAACCATGGTTTTTACAGTTCTAGACTAGTGTTATCCCGTTTCCCATCATGTCAGTATATGAACTGACTTGAGAAACAAGAAAAAGTTGAATTGGAACATATTTGAACTGATACTCTGTCGTTCTATATGGGGTTAAAAGGTATATATCCACTCTCATGAGGGCCCATTCTGTCCTTTATGGTACGCCTCTAAAAACTTTGAGTGCAAATTTTTCTTCTGTTTGTGAGAGTGTGCTTTGTGATTATACAATGGAAAGTACCGATTTTTCCCTGGTCAGCAGGGTAAAAATGAACAGACATGAAGTCATGTCTTAGGAACAGTACAGTGTGATAAACGTACATGTATTCTTCAGTCCTACAGTCCTGAGAGTTAGTGTGTGGGTGTGTGTCTGTCTGTGGTCGGTTCTGTTGTGTTGAATTTTCTTCTTTGCCCATGTGCATAATCATCAAGTACGTGTATGTCTGTCTGTAATATTCACCCGTGCAGGAAAGAACATGTGCATTTGTGTTCCCATTACTCAAATATGCACTGGCTGACTACTGCGTCGGAGCTTTTCCAGGAAACTGCTACCTGCCTTTCCAGAAGTGAAATTCTTTCCTCTCCCAGTTGATGGTTGTTCATCCCAGAGCATCTCAATCATAGCTCTGGCGCTCACTCCACTAGACTGGGACAGAATTAGGCATTTCCACTCCAGAATTTGAGGATTCCTAAGTTGCCATGCTGTTTCTCCGTAAAACAAACTAAACCTCCAAACATGAGTGCAAGCCTTAATAAACTCATATCTCCCAGGCAACAGTCTAGGGTCAATTTCCTCCATTAATCAGATTAAGGTGTAAGTCTGTAGAGAATAAACACAACACAGAGATCACTGTTAAAATACAGTATGTCTCTCTCACACACACTTCACCACTCGTTCGAAGCCTTCGTGGTCACATTTCCAATCATTCCAGGGTCTTTCGCAGAAGTCAACAATTGGGTCTGTTCCCAGCGGTCCACATTGCCATAATGCTGGGCTGAGAGGCATTGCAAAGATGTAAAAACATACCATCCACCTTTGTGGTTCCAACACAGTTAACACAGTGGATATAAGCTCATAGAACATTCAGAACTCGGAGGCACTGCAGTGGTGTGATCATACAATATATCATACAGTATATGTGTCTAAATTTAGTCATTTGTTGGATTGAGGCTCATTATTAAGTTTTATTGTTTAAAGATAAATCCAGGAAAGTACTATTTTGCTATTTTTAAACACTGTAGTTGAATTTTGGATTCCGCTGCAAGTCTCGAGTGTAATCAGCACACATCTCCCCATTTTTCTCCTTAAATCACTGAAAGTGAACCTTGGTTACTGTAAACTGCAATGATCTGTATCCTTGTGGTAATTTGTAGTAAAAACAGCAAATTTATGGTGCTTGAGGACATAAATCCAGGTGAAGACCAGTTTAAACTGAAATATGAGGATTTCCTCCGATTAAGATTGTTCCGGTCGGAGTTCTGCTCCTCTTTTTTCTTATTGAGTGGCGGGTCTAGCTCTGAACAGTCAAGCAAATAAACAGGAAGCAAATCTTTAAATGATCTCCATTAGACCTGACAGATCAGTTTAAATATACAAAATGAACACTCAAGTTTATGCTAATAAAGTCTCAAAACACAATAGTGAGAAGTCTTATGTTGGCAGAACTGAAATGAAGTAATCATGAATAAATCATTTTAAGGAGATCGATCAGTGTTGCAGACCTTGGTGTTGGCATAGAAATCTTTTTGTGGGAGGAAGCAATGCTGATAAGCAGCAATTGGTATTACTGACATAATCAAACTCTGTTTACAAGGTTAATGTAAAAACCATGAACGCTCATTTCTTCTCACTAACCTTCTTCTTTTCCCATTTTCCTAAACTCTGGGGAAATTAGTTGGGTAAAAACTGCAGTTAAAGAGTCATGTCAATCTTTGTCTCTGTTGCAAAAGGATAATAATGGACACTTTGATTCCTCACACCCTCGTTATTGTAGGTTTGGCAGCTGGCTACTACACACTGTCTCAGAAGAACCTTGAAATGGATAGTGCACCAAACATGTTTAGTTTATAAATGTAATCTTGTAGGTGAGAAATGGAGGGACAAGTCATGAAAAATCTTTTTCTTAAACTTAAAGAAACCCTCAACTTAGAGCTGACAGCCTCCTTTACGTATTCATGTAAGGAGTCTATACGTTAGTGTATACTTTTCTGGAAAATTAATAGGTAAGAGCCACAACAACTCATATATTTTGTTTCATTGTACAACTGACCCTGTTACTGCTCTGCGCTTGTGTATTTTATTCCACACTGTCTCTCGTTTCTATATTGCAGTTCTTTCCATGTATTTTGATGCTTGTTGTTTACCTCGCTGACTTTGGCCCCAGGAATAAACACTTTATTATTAATTGTGCTGCATTATTTATATAAAACAGATATTATAACAGCAGACTCCCAAAAGGCCAAATTGCTATTAAAGTTTAAGGTTTTTAAGTCACAGGAAACATGAAGTATTTATATATATATATATATATATATATATATATATAAATATTTCTATATACTATATATATATTATATATAACTATATAAAATAATATATATATCACAACCTGGGCTCAAAGGTGGTGGTGACAAAGAGGGAGGACCGCACAGTCTGTGAATAGGTTAACGCAATTTCAATTTAGGTAAATTACAAAATAATCAATACAGGTTTAATAATGTCTGTCAGCAAACTCAGATATGTCTGCAATGTCTGTGTGAGTGAAGGTGAGGTGATATGTATGAATGAAAACCGGAACACAAACCAAAAATCAATAGTTCAGTCAACAGGACAACAGGTGAAGAGAGTAAGAAAGCCTTTGCGGTCTGATTTATATCCCCCTGAGCCCAGCCTGGGCAACCGCCCTTACTTCCTGAAACAAAAGAAGGGTAAACAAACCAAGACCCACCCCCCCCCCCCCCCCCCCCCCCCCCCGCCCCCCCCCCCCCCCCCCCCCCCCCCCCCCCCCCCCCCCCCCCCCCCCCCCCCCCCACCCCCCCCCCCCCCCCCCCCCCCCCCCCCCCCCCCCCCCCCCCCCCCCCCCCCCCCCCCCCCCCCCCCCCCCCCCCCCCCCCCCCCCCCCCCCCCCCCCCCCCCCCCCCCCCCCCCCCCCCCCACCCCCCCCCCCCCCCCCCCCCCCCCCCCCCCCCCCCCCCCCCCCCCCCCCCCCCCCCCCCCCCCCCCCCCCCACCCCCCCCCCCCCCCCCCCCCCCCCCCCCCCCCCCCCCCCCCCCCCCCCCCCCCCCCCCCCCCCCCCCCCCCCCCCCCCCCCCCCCCCCCCCCCCCCCCCCCCCCCCCCCCCACCCCCCCCCCCCCCCCCCCCCCCCCCCCCCCCCCCCCCCCCCCCCCCCCCCCCCCCCCCCCCCCCCCCCCCCCCCCCCCCCCCCCCCCCCCCCCCCCCCCCCCCCCCCCCCCCCCCCCCCCCCCCCCCCCCCCCCCCCCCCCCCCCCCCCCCCCCCCCCCCCCCCCCCCCCCCCCCCCCCCCCCCCCCCCCCCCCCCCCCCCCCCCCCCCACCCCCCCCCCCCCCCCCCCCCCCCCCCCCCCCCCCCCCCCCCCCCCCCCCCCCCCCCCCCCCCCCCCCCCCCCCCCCCCCCCCCCCCCCCCCCCCCCCCCCCCCCCCCCCCCCCCCCCCCCCCCCCCCTCCCCCCCCCCCCCCCCCCCCCCCCCCCCCCCCCCCCCCCCCCCCCCCCCCCCCCCCCCCCCCCCCCCCCCCCCCCCCCCCCCCCCCCCCCCCCCCCCCCCCCCCCCCCCCCCCCCCCCCCCCCCCCCCCCCCCCCCCCCCCCCCCCCCCCCCCCCCCCCCCCCCCCCCCCCCCCCCCCCCCCCCCCCCCCCCCCCCCCCCCCCCCCCCCCCCCCCCCCCCCCCCCCCCCCCCCCCCCCCCCCCCCCCCCCCCCCCCCCCACCCCCCCCCACCCCCCCCCCCCCCCCCCCCCCCCGAGGAACAGGAATAAGGGCCAACCCTAAGGCTGTCACACACAATCAGCCATAACATTAATGACCACTGGACAGCTGATAAATAACACTGAATTATCTCATTATTACTCATAGCACCAGTCAGTATGGGTGGGATATATTAGGCAGCAAGTTGTATTTGACATACCTTCTGCTTTGTTGTGCTTGTATTTTTCTTGCGGTCGATGGGTAGCTGGAGGTACATGAGCTGGAAAGGGTCCAAATTATATTCAGGGTTGCTGCTTCTTCATGTCCACATGTAGAAGTGTCCTTGAACAAGACCTTAAAAACCCACTTGCTTCCATGGTTAGGCCAGTGCATTACATGGGCAACTCCACTTGCTAATCTGGGTGTGTGTGTAAATGAGATGCAGCCATTTACCTTTCCTAGCCAGCTTTTAACTAGCTGAATAGCTGTTAACACCATAAAAAACTAGTTCTGTCTTCGCACCATCATTATGAATATTGATAAATAAAGTAGATGAGCATTTCTTTCATTATGATGTTGGAAACCCAATATTCCTTTTAATATCAGCCCCAGCAAATATTGAATATATTAAATTTAAAATCGTTAAAACTATTTAGGATAAAAACAAATTATCAAACAATACAAAGAACTTGACACAAATTATCTGTTAGTTTTAAGTATATGGTCTGGCTCTGTAAAAAAAAGGATAGATTACAAATGTAATTAACAATGTGACATTATTTTGTTTTACCAGGTCAGGAAGACAACTAAGCGAAGCGTCTTTGTCCAGTTACGCATCCGGAGGGAGGAGCTCCCGGATATTATGAGCTAACAGAAAACCTGTGGACTTCAAAAAGATCAAAGGTATGTTAACTAAGGATGACTTCTGATGACATATTTATCTGCATTTCTTTTAACAGCAATTCATAAGTCAGTAACAATAATCGTTAGTTGCAGCCCTATCAACTTTATGACAAAGTGCCGTTTAAAGAAAGGATTTGCATATTTTCTTTGTTTTGAAAGTAAAGGTGAAGACAATGCCTTGAATAATTACAGTTAATTGAAGGCTCACAGCAACCTGCAGCGGATGACCGTGAATCAAATCTGTTGGCCTCCATGCTGATGTTTTGTCAACAGGATCGTGGTGGGAGAAACCATAAATAAGGACCAGTGTTGGGAGACCTCGGAGAAGGATGTCATGCTGCTTTGTCCACATGCCAGACCTTCAACCTGGAGGGGATCCCAGGTCAAGAAATCCCCAATGTGGAACTGATGTTCTCTAATTTATTTCTTAATTAATATTTGTTGGGAGTGGGTGGTTTGGAGAACAAGACTTTGTAGGCATCCCATGGACGTGGGGGTTGAGATACGTACACATAACGTCCCTTGTTGGCATGTCATATACCCATTGTGACCTGCATAAACCCAGACATAGGTGATGGTACCTGCGATTTCCTCTACTCTTATAGGCTGCCGCAGTTTTAACTCGTTCATTAGCAGGAAGCAAATAGTGGCCTCGCCTGCGTTTTACACAAATCTCGTATTAGTAACGAAATCTTGATTCATATTTTGACTCAGCACTGGCCTAGTTTGACAGTTTGATCTGAGTTTTGGGTGCTTCAAGTGGACAGACTCACTGAGAATGACCTGTCAGTCAAAAGGTAGCCACACCCAAAAGCACACGCGGCTTTATCATCTATTTAACTCTAAATTGGACCATAATTTACTAAATGAACATAATAATATATGGAAGAAGATGTGAAACTAGCGTTTGAGATCATAAACTTGTTAGGAAACTGTTTCCTGAGCTCATAAATGAAGTGACAAGTCGGCTCATTCTCCAGTAGACCCTTATGATATATATTTTCACTATTTTCTGTCATTTTATAAACAAAGGTAATACATGTTATAAATGTATAACATAAATGTTTGTTGAAGCCCTCCTCCGAAGTGACTCATCTTGACAGTTCCTGACACCGACACCGATATTCTCTTCCTCTGTTCCGATTCTTTAGTTGTTTACTGAGGCTTAGGCTTTGTCCTCGAATCTTACAGTCTTGTAATGCATTGCACCAACTTAATCCAATAGAGTTCCTCTGGACATTTCATTGTTTTTTGAGGAAACAGCCCGTATTTCATTGTTATAATTTTAATTGCCACTTCCCATAGTGGAGGAGTAAGTATTAATTGATTCACTGCTACTTACTCCATTAGCCCTTTTATACGTCAGTCTCATTTTTATCTCCATTAAAGCTTAATCTGTCCTCTTTTATTATCCCTACTCACATCTACCTTTTGTCCAGCAGGTGCTCCTGTCCTTAGTTTCCAACTAAAACATTCTCTCCCTGCACACAGATATACGAGGACTCCATTGTCCTTCAGTCGGTGTTTAAGAGTGCCAGGCAGAAGATTGCCAAGGACGAAGAGAGTGAAGAGGACAGTGATGAGGATGATGAGGATGATGATGAGTCAGAGGCGGAGGGTAAGAAAGGGCATTCACACAATGTTCAAACTGCAGGAAGAAAAACATAATGTAAAAGACAGGGATGGAGAATACTATTGTAACCGCACTTCAGAAGAAAAATATTATTTTAATCTTAGACATGAAAATGAATTCTTAACTCACGGTCCACTTCATATCTATCTCAGAGCTTTTATCTGGTCTTCCACAGCAAATGAAAACTGGTTGAAAGCTTCAGAAAAAGCTTGTGTTGAGTGTATTTTATTCCTGAAATGATTCACAAGCATCATATCTCCAAAGTTTAAAAAATCTGTATTTTATGTATTATTAATGATTTAATTTCTGAGAATGAACACTTAATGTGTTGAGTCTGTTAGCTTCCAAAACATCCTTTCATTATTGATTATTCTGCCCATTATTTCATTATTAAATGATTAATCGTTTGGTCTACAGAATAATGAAAAATTAGCTTTTCCCAAAGCTTAAGATTATATTATCAAATTTGTTATTATAACAGTTATAAATGTTATAAAACAGGAAATAAAACAGCCTACTCTCATTTAAGAAGCTGATACTTTTGCTTAAAAAATTATTTAAATTTAAATTAATTGTGAACATTTTTTTTATAAATGACAGATTAATGTGTTATATGATCTAAAAAAAAAACTAATAAATCCTCATTTTTAAGGTAACTTGTCAGTTTAACATAAATAGGTGATTCCAGATATGATCACTGAGTCCCCTGAGCCTAAATGTAGGTAAATGAGTATAAGTTCAGTTTTCTAAGCAAATAATGATGAAAGCAGTTATGTAAGAGTTGTCTGGTGGGCCCTTTAATCACTCCTGCTTTTACCTTGTGCTCCATTCAGCCAAGTCGGTGCGGGTTAAGATCAAGCTGAGTAAGGAGGCGCGCAGCCATGACAAAGGCAAGAAGAGGCAAAGCCGAGCGAAGGCCAAGCCGGTGGTCAGCGACGACGACAGCGACGAAGACCTGGATGACAATGTAGGTCATTCCACTCATTCCACCATGAGCACATCTTTCAGCTGAATAGCTCAGAGTTTACTCATGAAAAGGCTGGCAAAAATGATTTGAACTTCTAAAATTCTAAAAAAAAATTCTAAATGAGAGAAATTAATTTATATGGAAAGAACTGACAAATAACAAACTGATAAATAAACAAAACAACTATCAAATAATTTTAATAATATTGGCCACCACATCTTAGGAAAGCTCAGAGTAGCAACTTATCCCTAATTTTTCTCTTATCAAACATGACAGATGGCACACTGAGCACTGTTTGACAATATTGAACATAGTGGATCTTATTTCTGGTCGTCAGGATCTAAAGTCCTGGTGATTTCCTTCCAGCCGTCTAATCAGCAGCTCTTTCACAAATGGGATGCCAGGTGTAGGCAATTAATTGCAGTTAAATTGTTGATAGAAGAAACAGAACAGCAGTGCTTCAGGTTATCACAAACATTTACAGTGAAACACTACAACTGGCATTTGTACCACAGAATCTCTAAATACACAAAAGCTCACAAACATCAGTTTCACAGCGGTAAGTAATGAAGTTTAGGTTTGAAGCATGTGAATGGAGTGCAATTAGTGCTGCAATTAAGGATTGTTTCAATTATCAATTAATCAAAACTGTCTTCCATGACTTAATAAGACTAATCAATTAATTGTTTAGTCTATAAAAAAAGGCTGTCACATTCTATAATGTTGTCAAATTAGTGGTTTTGTCCAACCTCTGGTCCAAAACTCAGTTTCCAGTGATATAAAAAGCAACCCAACCTCACATTTGAGTAACTAGAACCAGTTTGGCAAATCTTGCTTGATAAATTACTTTATAAAACCATTAATGAACACCAACAGTTCATTTTATGTTATTGGAATAATCAATTATTTCAGCAATTAAAAACAGCTAAAATGCTAAATACTTTGATATTTGATATAACAGTAATAGTCTTCAGTCTGCAGTTGTTTCCACTGATACCTTTCCTATTAAAATGAATGCTATAATGGCTGCACATGGGTGACAAAATGTGTTCAAGTAAATAAAATAAAATCCATCCAGTCTACCTTGTAGTAAAACTAATTAAGTTCTTTAGTTGTATGCCATTATATATTCTATCAGGAAGCCATCCCTCAGTATCCCTCTATCCATCCCTCTGTATTTTACTGTATTATACACACATATCCTGTTTATCCTCCTCTTCACTGGACTTGTACTAACAGTCTAGCATCATATAATTGGCTGCCAACATACAAAGAAACCAGCAATGGGAAATTAAAGCCATGGTAACCACAATTAATGTACCCATTTTTATTTAATTACCATCTAACAGATACATTGTATTCTCCTCTTTCTCCTCCTGCTTTTCCTTTTTGCCACATGAGTGAAAGTCATTCCTTTATACACATTTCAGATCTATTCTTAAAATTATTCTGATTTTTATAATGTTAGATTTATATAATACTTAATATATAATTGTCTTGCAGTTCATGGTCACACAGTAGACCTTTTCATTCCAGTATCAGCCTTTTCAGAGTATAAGCACAGGGCTCCGTAGCTTCCTGGAGTAATTATACCTTTCCCTTTTTCTGTTGTTTGGATGACATTTGCTTTCCACCATGACTGCTGAGTGTCTTCCATCAAAGCCCTCACATCTAAGGACATATTGATTGGCATGTTCATAGATTTAGTTGAATACTTAATTAGAGCTTAAGTGTGTGTGAGTGAAAAGGTCAACCAGTGAGCCTGTATCAACATACGGAGACAGTGAGTTAAATACAGTATGATGTCTGCTACTGATGCCAAGGTGACCTGCTGGTTGTAGGTCACTTGAAATTAAAAGTAAAACACACTTCTCAGCACACTTATTTCAAAGTTCTAATTTCTAATTTTATGCTATTTACAATACATTTTCATATTTATTACGTGAGAACTAACCAATGTTCTTAAATATAGGACATAAAAAACACAACTTGTTTTTAGTGATTTTAGAAAAGTACTGAATACCGGTAATCAAATGTATTTATGTTTTCTGATGCTGTAAAGGTGGAACAGGCCGGGGTGTAAATAATTGATTGCAGATAAAAGCTGATTAACCTGAAAATTGAGGCTAGAGTTGTAAAATCCAGTTTGTGAATAAGACAAACTGTTAGGCTTTGCTGTCTATGATTTCCGACACAACAAAACAAACAATAGAGCTAATTATGAAAAGATAGATGTTTTTCTATCACCATTCATTATATATTGTCATACTGCACTGCCCTAATTAAGCACATTACAAACACATTTTGATTTCATTAATACGGCAGTGAGTGCTACCTTAATATTACATCTATAGAGACCAAAAGTTGTTTCCTCTATGCCTTCAGTGCGCAGCCTGAGGCAGGTGTGTATGAGGGTAATAAAATAACATCATGGTCAAAAGCCACATTACTCTGTGAATACAAATGTAGTGTGTGATTTCCTCAGCTGTCTATTAGTCATGGTGGAAACATTCACTGATGTGTGCAGTGTGTTCAAAGAAAATACTTTGTCTCTCTTTATCTCTCATCCCACTCGCTTCTTACCCACAAATTTAAAAACTGAACTTTCCTTTCCTGAATTTCCAAGAAATTTCAAAGACTCATCATCCTCATCCTCATCCCCCTTTATAGCTCCCCCTTCAACAGCTTCTGCCCAGAAATTAGACAGTAGGGGATGTAAGGAAAGGGCACCGGCTTCACCTTCAGACCTTCTTTCCTCTGGAGATCTTTATTTCTTATTCCAGGGTGTTAATATATTCAGCTTGTGATTTGGTTGATGGACTTCTGCACCTCTTGTTTTGTTACAGGAAAATAAACCCTTTATCTCCCGTCTGGCCTCTGCTGTCATTTATATCTCCCTGTCTCTAATGCTCTACAGGATCAGTCAGGACAAGAGCAAGAGCGACGATGGAGTGACTTGAGGCATATTGTATTAGCACTTATAAACAAAAGGACAATATCTTCCATTACTGTTGTTCAGATTCATTATTCTGTATTTTTTATTTTATTTTTTACTTAATTGACTGTCTGAAGTGTGTATTGCCGCCCCTTCTCCCAACCAGCTTGGAAATGTATTACTAATTAATCGATAAGCTACAGCCAATACCAATCTGCTTATATCTCCTGTGTTTTGCAAGGACAAGTTTTGTGGAGTGATATATTTTTAGTAACTGGTGCTTTACAAGATTTAAACGTGCTGTATGAAAGAAAAGGGTTCATGCGTCTACGTGCCATTTTGCTTTTATTTGTACGTTGCGTTGCTTGCACGTTTTTAAAAAGTGAAATATTAGATATTCCACATTTTTTAAAAAACAACAAAACAAATAAAGATAGAATATAAATTAAATAGTTAATAGTAATAGTATATACTATAGTATATAGCTATGCGTACGGCTGACGTCATGAGGTAGCGGATGAGTGTAGTATGAATCCCTATATTTTTATCTTTGTACTACTGTATTGAGTATCATATACATATACTGGTATATAAAGTTATAACATAGTATACTATATATATATATGTACTATATATATATATATATATACTATATAAATAAAGTATACTTATAAATGTATATATTAAAGTATTATATATACAATAATATTTAGAGGAGAGAGAAAGAGAGAGCCGAACACATCCAAGATAATTTGGAGAGCCATAGGTAATAAAAAAAAGTGCAATCAATCAAATTGAAAAATAAAAATGTATTCATTGTTTCACTTCTTGCAGTGCCAAATGTTGGAATGTAGAGAAATGTATTGTGTTGCTAAACCCCTCCCCCAACCAGCGATTGTGCAATCATAGCCTAGCAACCGTAACTAGGCAGGCCTGTCAAGCTTTAGATTTCTCCACATGTTGAAGCGGCAGGTTTAAAGGATGGATTGAACAGTGTGTTTATCTGCTCTAAAGTAAGCTGCAAACGTTTGATTGTCCAGTTTAAAAGTCCTCTACAAATGATGTATTGTTATTATCATCATTAAAAACACACTCAGTAGTAATCAAGTGTTACATAGCTAACAATAACGTAACTACTAACTTCAGTGTGTAATATCCGCTCAAACAAAAACTGCAATCATTAGCATGTCTGGCTAACGAGCTTACAGTAGTAACTTTCCAAGGCCAAAGAAACCAATCTATAACTATGTTTCATTATTTTGTGGGGTTATTTGATACATGAAGTAAAGTCTGGTCCAGAACTGGAACATCCACTCTATAGTATTTCCCCAATGAGTGGAAACTGGTCCTAGAAACGATCAGAGTTCAGGCTAACATTAGCCCCCCCAGCCAGACTCGTTACCAGAGATAGTGTTATGTTAGTAGTTAGTTAGTCCTCAATTTTCAACACAATGTGTTAACACATTAAATATTAAAAATACTTTTTGAAAATATGAACAAGAGTGTAACCTAAGTGCAGTGTTAGGTTAGAATAGTCTGGAAATCACATCTTTATCTTTTGGTATTTACTGTATAATATAAGGACTCTACACTGCAATACAAGAACAATGCCAGTTCCTTTGGGTAGCGATGCCAACCTTTGGCCTTGTAGCCTTAGCTTGAGCACGTATCTCAACATTAAGTACATATTTAGGACGCCTTTTACATAATTCCTGATTCAGAACGAGTCAGCTGGAAACAACTTTTAATAAAGCCAATGTTAGCTTAAATAGCTAGCTAGCTAGCTACAGCTGATAAAGTCTGTCAGCGATTGTCGTCATTTCAGCAAAATCGACGGTCGCGGGCTAGAAAGGAATACATTATTTCGAAATGACCTTTTGAGACGAATTTGGACAGTAAATATTCCACCGTTATTGAAATCTGCGAGAATGAAAAGCTTGACAGACATAGCAACAGTAATTATGAAGGGCGGGGCTTAGCAAACAGTCAGTTACAAGACAACAAGATTTTGAGTGTATACTATTAAACTAAAGTCTATTTACAGCCAGCACAACAAAATATCAGTTGTTGCTTGAAATTGTATTGAAGATGGCCATAAATTGCCATAAAACAGCTTTTTTTGAACAAAAATTAACCTTACATTATGTAGGCGGCACATTGTTTAGTTTAAGTCCATGTGTTTCATTTCTTCTAATGCTTTTAAGTTGTTGTGTATCAGCGCAGACGCTTTGAATTTTGTCCGAGTGTTTGGGTTATTTTGATTGAGAAACTGATCTGGGCAGTGTTTGTATTTTGGCAGAAGATTAATGGGGAAACACCTTGTATAGTTGAATAAAACCAGCATCTACCGTAGCATTAAATGTAGCTCTAAAAGCAAATGTAATGTCTAAAAGCAAGTTGAACCATACGGTCTCAATCAGATTGTAAAGAACTAAATCTTGCTGGATTTTTGTAGACTATTAAAAACAGTAGATAACAGTAAATATAACAAAGAACACAGTATTACGGGATTAAACATTTGAATGACATTGAATATAACTATATTTTAATGATTTACACATTTGGATTGAGGTGTGTTCCTATAATAAAAGTTTTCGAGCCTTCATTTCATTGGTTTTTATATGTTGTTTTTGTAGCATGAACTCTTTTGGCAATATACTGTGTACATGCAGATATATCATTTCTGTTTGTGTAATATGTGCTTGCCGTCTCTCCATAAGTGTGACTTAATCTTTGCTTTCTTTGCACAGTGTCTTTGTGGTTGTATTTCATAGCCCAGGGCAAATAAAATCTCACAGATTTTCAGCACAAAAAATGTTTTTGAGTTTTTTTTTTGTTGTTGTAAAGAACCCGCTCTACCATCTGTTAGCGCAACTGGTTTCGCAGTGCTCGCTGCTTACGGCAGGGGTCTCAAACTTAAATTGGCTTGAGGCCATTGCTGGTATTGTTTCATGGGAGGGCCACTTCAAAGTTCAAGTTCTATAAGTAAGCGCAATATTCTGAAAAAGTTTCCATTACTAACATCATACTTAACAAAAAGAAATGCAGAACAGCAGTTTTTTTATGCAATTTTATATCATTGTTTTATATCATCTTTGTCATTTTAAGCCAAACAATAAAGGAAGGCCCGAAACCTGCTGTCTTCTTATCAACAGGCACATTTGACCTTTGCCATTTTTTTAACCCAGCAAAATACATATTTTAAAATAGAGTTGTGTTTCTGTTTTGGTAGTATATGAAGAGCTTGTTTAAATTAATATGAAAATTATTAATAATTAATATGAAAATAATTTGAAACAAAGAGTTTAGGAAGACGACATCTGCAAGTACTAAAAAATTTTTATGACAAATTATTTAAATTAAATTCATCAATGATATCGTATAACCTAACATTTCAATGTGCTGCTCTTTAGTCGAAAGAATGAGCAGTTTGAGCTCAGATTTATCAATGGTTTCCTTTCCAGTAAGGCTGTTTCTGTTATTGTCCCTGTTACCGGCTGTTGCAGGTGTCTTTAGAAGTCTTAAATCGAAGTTGATAAAACTTACGGACTTCCTGTTTTAGGTCAATCTGCTCGTCTTTTCTCTCTCAATCTCGCACTGTCAACACAACTGCATGGTGATCCCGTGACTTTTCAACTAGCGCCACCAACAGGTCAAAGTTCTACTTATCTAACACTTATATGTCATTGAGAGGATAGTTTTAAAACTATGACCCAATTCATGGTTTTTAAAGTATGAAACAGTCGGCCTCCCCTCAGACAAAGCTTGGAAAAAGGTGCCCCCTCACCCCTCTTACTTAACTATAGTTAAGTGCTCAATTCCTGGATGTGTATGGGATCAGTAAATGTAATTTGATTCCAAAGAAAAAGGTCTGTCCTAGTTTCTGGCTGAAGTAGTAAAAACAGTAAAATTGCCCCAAACATCGCACACAGCTATTATACATGATCTCCTTTTGATAATTAATGTAATATTTTTTTTCTCTTTCATTCATGGAGTCCCCCCTGGAACTGTTTGGAGCCCCCCTGGAGAGGACCGCCTCCCACTTTGACTTAATTCAGCCTCAGCTGTACTTTGAGATGCTAATATAAATGTTGCATAGAGAATTTGAGCATTTAACATTTCTTTAAGCTGATATTTGTGAGGGTGTAAGGGTTGAGGGTGTCCTATGAAAAATTGGAAATTTATATCATCCAATAGTATTCTTTTACATAAGCATAACAGATTTCTTTTTGTTTTTTTCATTTGTTGCCAAGACAGATTTTACAGCTGAAAAATATAAATTGTTGAGTTGTACGCAAATGGCCACAATTGGCAGCATTTCCAGACCAAAACCAGGTCACGTCAATCATACGAACACTAATTTTTAAAGTGTTTCAGGGTAAACTATTGTGCAGTCCAGGCTTCGGCACAGACAGACCTGAGTTTGAAACATGACGATCTGTTCACAACACATGGATACACAGTGTTGATCCCATGGGCCCTGAAAACAGGCCAGCATTTATTACGTTGCCCAACAAACGAAACTTAAGGATAACTATACCACATAAATTAGTTTGACGCTCAAATGTAAGGGTCCTGAATTTTTATTGTCAACAAATTCCATAAAAAGACCAACACTAACAATGTGCTTCTCAATACTTAATGATTTATCTATCCTGTCTGTAACCCCCAGCCTGTTAGTCTGCACTGAAGACATAAACCTTTAAAAACATTATTTATATATATTATATTTATTAATACTGTATATATTATTGCTGTTTTGGACAATGGAGCTCTGTGGCACAGATGTAAGGGATAATGCCCAATGAGGTGACCATTATCAGGAATTAATGGACAACGTGGAGGCCAGAA